GGTTACGGTACTATTTTTTGACGGAACCTTGAGTATATACCGCCAAAAAGGGTAGAGATATAAAGAGTTTGCCAGGTTCGTGAGACTGTAGGATGACATTTGTTGAGTTGGTTGGCGTACGGCTGAACAAGGCGGAGCTGAGAGGCCGTAGTATGAAAATTACATAAGTACTAGCCAAACCACTACGAACGTCTTAGCACAACCTTACCCTACGAGTTATTCTCTCTAAACAGTTGATAAGGAATAGGACAATAAGGAGTACTACAAGAAAACCTATCTGCCCTTGTAGGCTGCCAAGTGTGTGTGTATAATTTGCTTACCTATTTGGAGTTTGCTTTTACTCGCACTCTCAGAAGGCTGATCTATTAATGAGTACATAACAAGACATATTTTCCTTGAAACAAGAGCTTACTAGTGTTAAGATTAATCTTCGCCTCATTGACGGTTGGAAATTCGGAAGAGGGTTCAAGAATCAATTTAGAATGTTTATTATACATCATGGAAACCAGTCAATTACGAGTAGATCTCTCGAATATACAAATGATTCATCATTCAATAAATAAAGATAATAAATACAATTCTTATAACAATTAACTCCAACCTCTGGCTCCAATGTTTTCAGATGTAATTGAATTTCGGGTAACAGTATAGTCCAGAGCCGCTGCTCCTTCCTACTTGAAACTCATCAGCTGAATATAACGGGACCTAGGAGTCAACGTTCATCCCAGGTTTCAAATCCAATACTTTTCGCTTCAGACGTCAAAAGCGTTACCCACTTAGCTATTGACTCTAGACTGCTACTCACCTGTACAGTGAGTGTGAATAGAATTCCCTAAAAATTGTGACGAAACGATCAGGTTCAGGTTATCTTTGCATGATACACATGCCAAATTAGAATAATCAAATTTCTCCCCTAAAAAATATTAACATTAAGATGACTAAATGCCCTCGCAAATTATATTGTAACTTCCTGTTCTGACATAAATTTATAAGCTTACTCATATTCATCTGCGTTTAATCGCGGAGATCTTACACAAACGTTGCACCACAGGGAAATTGCCTGGCTTGACCCAACTCAAGGAGAAGACCATGACATCTTGCTTCCAACCTGTAGTTCACGAACAAATAGCAGCTTACAGCAGTAAAAATGTTCGTCAGGAAGAACGGATTGAAAAGGTGTGGAGAGTGGACAAACCAATGAAACTGGTGATAGTGAATCTTTGAATATGGAGCGAACTTCACTCATTCATGTCGTCAGATAGAACTTCGGCATTACAGCTGACGTCAATTAGTAATGAAGGTCCTAACTCCAATTCCTAACCTCGAATTCTAACTCTAAATCCTATCCTATGACTATTTTTGAGCCTAGTAATTCCTCACGTTATTCATAATCTTCCCATAAACTCAGCAAGTCGGTGAACATTCCCAATGTCACTTTGGTGTAGCTCAAACGTCATCCATAAATTGTAGTCTCATCATGTAGTAATTTCGGACAATAACCTTTTTTATTAAAACAGTATATAGCAGAGTTTTCGAGAGGTAATTATATCTTTCATTTAGTTTTAATTTATTTCCATATAGTAATATATTTTGGTGGCATTCAAGTTTACTGGCGATATCAAAATGTTATGAATATCACGGGATTTACTGCAACAGTTTACTCTGTCAGGTTCATATGTTATAAGACATACTGAATTCAGAAACAGAGGGGTAAATTAATGAACATAAGAAAATAAACAATATCAAGATTAATAACGATAGTTCATAGGTGCGTGCACAATCATTAACTTACATCACAACTGAAGATGGCACAGGTATTAGGAGTTTTACAACACCTTTGCACGTAACACCTTTATAATCGGAGTATATCAGCCCAGTCAAGTCAGAAGCCAGATATCAAGTGGATCTAAGATATATTTGGAAGACTATCGATGTACTGAAAGGCTTTCAGTCTAGGACAGCTAACAGTTTTAAGCGATATGTAGCACAGCTCGCCCACTCATGGTCTGGTATATATGTGTAACCGTACATGTCCAGCAGAAATAATGAGGGCAGAGTGGAATGTCAAAGACTTACAGAACTACCTATTTTAGGGATCTGTTTACAGCTACATAGTTTAACAGATAATCTACTACTTAAGTGATATTTTTAAATGGATAAGTTCGGTCACAATTTGTGATAGAATACTCATGCAGGAAAGCCTATCAATAAATGGGTTTGTGTATTGGTAATGTAATATAAGTTAATAGTTGTTAGAAGCTGTTCAAAAATGGCACATTATACAAAATGTAACCTCATCAAACGCAAATATGCTCCATATTCCGTTTATGCGTATCGTGTTCGTGGCACTGGAAAAATAGAGGAAAAAGCAGAATGGCTAGCAATTCAAAGCGGTTGATAAAAAGCAACATTTTTATTAATGCAGTGGAATAGATTAAGGTTTGTCTGTTGGTAGATAGAACTCAAGCTAATTGACGAAGGAACGTCCGATAAACCATGGAAACTAAACGCAATGTGTGAAGAATTGTAATGGGGAAGCAGGCCTCAGTTTGTGTAAGGTTAAAGAGAAAATCAGGATAAACATTCATTGATTTCGAAAAACCAGTAGTTTGAAAAATTGTTTAATTTCCGCATGACTTTATCACCACTTACCTGCTTGCTTACTCTTTTTACCACTCTTAAACGATCAACCAGGCTAAGATCCTCGCGGATGTATATTCCTGACGGAATCAGTTTGCGTGATTTTCTCAGTGTAAGGTTTCTTCCTTCAGCCGAATCGAAGATAACCTCTGAGAGGCAGCTTTTCTGAGTGCTTTCATAACCCGCCTCTTATCCTATTTTGTAAAGCTTACAGATCCTAACTCCGGAAATTATTCCTGGCAGTAGCTTGCTTATTAAGGACTTAATATGACTGAGATCATTCTTAAATCTAGCCTTTGGTTCCTTTCCGGAAGATTCTTTTGACTCATAATAAACGACTGAGCTGTCAACGAGGTCCGACTTAATATGCTGTGGAATTCTAAATCTAGAAAACTTCTCCCTGCAATTTGATTCCGATTCGGCGTCAAACTCAGAGATCTCACTTTACTTTCTTACTTTTATTTTCCTGAAAGTGACTGTGAGTCATATATTTACCTTCTTTTGTTTCTTGACTACAATCTTTATACCTCTCAGACTTTGCTCCCCCATAGTCTGTTTTCCTTGATACGAGAATCCGGAACTAAAACCGTAGATTCACATACGTTGGTGTTGCCTATAAGTAGTCTGTTCTCAGAATGCTTTTTCTTTTTCCTTATGACAATTCCTACATATGTATGCTTATTATCCGTTTCTCTAGTAGGTTCCACCTTTATGATCTCAATAAAATTCAAAGCTAGACTCATGATGACATTCGCTATTTCCTATAAAACTGAATTCTGCTCATCCACTGCTTCCTGTTTATCTGAGAGCGATTTTCTATCTACGTTAAGCAGCTCAATCGCCTGAAGAATTCGCAGAGACTTTGCAGAACAGCATACTTTGAGTAGCCAACGTGAAAGTTGCTTGCAGCACATTCTATGTACAGCTGGTGTGAGTCCGGTGCACACATTGTGATACCACTTGATGCAGTTGTTGAATTGCATTCAATTACCAACAGGGAGATGGCATACAGGTCTGTCACAACGATGTTTTATTAGCTCCATAAATTTGTTTTGTGATCTCACAGGAAGAACAAAATGCGAAAATTGACCTCTAGAATGAGTGTATTCCAAGGTTTGATAGGTGGTAGATACTCAACACAAACAAAAAACAGAGGTTTTTATATTACCGTGCCTAAGAACAATAAAAAATTCAACTTCCGTAGATACAACAAGACCTTAACACCTTTGGATATAGACAGTATTAAAAGATATACCCAACGGGGAAAAGATAACAGTACCTCTTTTTGTATCTGTAATAAAAAATACAGATGATAGACTTCTCTAGAAAAAAGTGATACGCTGTGAGTTTACTTTAACTGAAACAAATTAATTTACAGCAAAAAAAGTAGTCGTGTTGTGTAATTAAAAGATCAGTACTATGAAATATACATAGAAGAAATATACCACTGTCCTTTTTAAAAAGCGCGCTATACTTTGAACCCAATTGCAGTTTACTAGCAAGTCTTGTCCGGAAAAATCTTCTTATACCTTCTTAGACTTATATCCCACCTGTTTCTTGGAGTTGAAGATGCCACAGGTATTCAGAATTTGACAACGCTTTAACCAATAACACCTAATATGAATCGTACCCACCAAGTGAAATCAAAGGACAGAAGCGAGAAAGTTCGAAGATATATTTTCTAGGCTATAAATATATCGAGGATCGTCTGATCCAATCTGACTAGCGATTGCAAGGGGTGTTGAGCACAGCGTTCCTACTCGTGATCTGGTGCGGGTGCATGACTGAGCGCGTTCAGCTAAGTGGGTTCATTAAAACTAATGCGATCATCATCCAATGTCAAAAACTAATAGAGCTATTTATTTTGAGGATTTATTTACCGCTACAGTGTTATGTAAGACCCATGATCAGAGACTTCAAGTGTGTCTGTCATCTGTTCCACGAAACGTCATCCCTCGTAAGATTCAGGGATATAAATATAAAAGTCTCCCGAAGGCAAGACTGCTACGATATTAGGCTACCTTACAACAACACTACTTACACTTCAAATATGAAATGCACAACTCGGGTCAGACCACTCAAGGTCCCTGACAGCATTTTCAGTTCCAAGCTGATCTTCTTGCCATACGTTTTGTTTCCAGGCGAACGGAACAGGACGCCTTCAACCAAAAATTAACGAAATCGGACAAAATTTCTCCCAAAATGAGATCAGGAAGTTACGAGGAAACGATCAATCCACCGGGTGCACTACAAAATAGAGAGAGCTAAATCAATGTTCGTCGCAATGATTTTGTGGTTTTGCTGCAGTAAAAGACCACTTAAAAGTGAGAACACCTGATAATATTACAACTCAACAAATCCACAGCATTTGAAATTCGTAGTGAACGCTCAAGGTCGTTGAAACGGAACAGTGTGCAGCTTCTCCTGAACTTTTCCCCAGAAGGCGGTGTAAGTTTTAACTGTCGTTTCACAAATATTGTGCATATATTTTGTTTATCCAATCGACGGTGTAACTATAATTCTTGGACGACCTTTGAGCGACGTTGAAGTGACCCTGAGGGTGGACACCTACTGATTAGGACTAAATAAGGGTCCAAATGGTTCAAATGGTTGTGGACGGAATAGAAGATACTTTCGCCTAACAGGTTTCAGTGTCTAGTAGCAGGGGATCACCAAATCCTCCAGGCAGGAACCTAGGTATGTTAACAATAAAAAAGGAAAAGAAATTAGTAAATCATAGCGTGATACTATCCTTAGTCCTTAAGAATAGATCAAGGGTTATACTCGAGCTTCTAATTTTGGGGAAATCCCCAAAGTCAAATAACCTTGACCAAGGTTAAAGGGGGATTTCGGGGTTTGGGTCTCATTTCCCCAAAATTTACTATAGCGGCTTCCCCAAAATGGGCCAAATATCCCCAAAAATTAGCAGCTTGGGTAAAGCAGCTAGAATTCTCGTTTACAGTTGATGGTCAGGGTTAAAAATTAGATTTAAGGCTTTCATCACGAACTGGCATCTAATCTCTCTCCTTCTTTATTTACCAAATGGCAAAATGGGAATTTTCACTATATTGAAACGTTCTGAGCAAACATCTGCGTTAAAGGTTCTCAATGAGTATCTGAAGTATAGCGCAAGGCTCAGTGAGGCGATGACAAATGTTGATGCTCAATTCGTTCCTTCTTTATTTACCAAATGGCAAAATGGGAATTTTCACTATATAGAGGGATTAGTTTGACTAATATAGCATCCAAAATACTAGCCTCGATAATTATTGGGCCCCTAACTATGACTCGTGAACTGCAAACACGAGAAAATCAGACTGGCTTCATAGCTGGTTGTGGCTGCACTGACCACATATTCACGATTCGTCAGGTTCTAGAACACAGGCATGCTTATCGGCGTCCGACAATGGTTGTCTATCGTGACTTGGAAGCAGCATTCGACTCCGTAAACCACGGGATTCTGTGGCTGTGTTTGTCATTGAAAGGTGTACCTCAGAAGTACATAAACTTTGTGAGGTCTCTTTACTCGAACACTACTAGTCGAGTGAGAGCTTATGGCGAACTGTCATCTGCTTTCGCAACCTCAAGTGGTGTCCATCAAGACTGTCCACTTTCTCCATTCTTGTTTAACTTCATCATAGACCTACTGATGGAAATAACGCTCTCATCGACTGAATTTTCGGGCATTGATCTCCCACCAGGAGGTCCACTTATCGACTTAGAATTCGCAGATGATATAGTCCTGTTTAGTGAAGATGCTGATAAAATGCAGTCTTGGCACCACTTAATAACAATACCAAAATGTTTGGGATGCGCTTCGCCTTTCTAAGTGCAAGTTGTTGCTTCAGGACTGGCCTGCGTCAACACCTGGACTAAGGATGGGCAGTGAAGTAGTCGAACGCATCGAAAACACTTATCTTGGAAGTCTGATCAGCCCTGATGGGTCATTGTCTGACGAAATCTCAGCACGGATTCGAAAAGCTCGTTTGGCTTTTACCAACTTACGTCACCTATGGCAAAGGCGAAATATCCGTCTATCAATAAAAAAGACGAGTATACTGCGCTGCAGTTCGTTCTGTTCTACTTTACGGCTGCAAACCATGGCCATTAAGAGTAGAAAACACTCGTGTGCTACTAGTATTTGACCACAGATGCCTTATAAATATTGCTCGCATCTGCTAGGATCATCGGTTAAGTAATAGTGAGGTTAGACTCAGGGTATTAGGGAATGTTGGTAAATCAGTTGATGAGCCTGTGAATCTTTATCGACTGAGATGGTTGGGCCACGTGTTAAGTATGCCTGAACACCGATTACCACGATGCGCAATGCTAACTAGTGTTGAAGACGGACGGAAGAAAGTTAGGGGCGGCCAAACCAAAACATGGCATCAGTCCTTGAAGTCACTAACTTCTAGTCTTAGCCATGTTGGTAGATGCAGACTACTTAGTTGGGGTCCGCGCAACTATTGTAACCAATGGTTGGAGACTGAGTGACATGGCTCAGTATCGACCACAGTGGCGTAGGTGCATACACTCTTTGTCTTCCCTTAAGCTATGCGATTAATAATATTTCATATCTTTCTTTCTACGAACTAATTCTTTCTTTATGTACTATATCCTTGCATAAAATCTTTCCTTTATATTTTACACCATTGAGTTAACTGCTATGAATCCGGTGTTCGTCTCGCTGTGCTAATGAGGTGTGACAACTTGAACCGACGCATATATGTGCCTGGTCCTACGTTGTAACTTACTGACTATCACCATTCTCGTTCCTTTCTCCTAGTCAGTCCATGTCGTCCCAAGATATATTCGTACCCGGTGTTGTCCATTCCGACTGTGGTGTTTAGGTCTCCTATAAGGATGGTCAGATCTTTTCCTGAGCACTTATCTACGATTGACTCCAGTCTCTCCTAAAGCCGATCTTTATCGTCTTCATTTCTATCATTTAGTGCATAACACTGAATAGCATTCATTGTGATTCACTCCTTTATTTTGAGGGTTCCTATAAGCGTTTTTCGTGCTTCATTGGATAGCATCAGTGCAACGCCTTGTGTATGCGAAGCATTTTCTTGTTCATGATCACATTACAACACAGCACCACCTCTACCGAGTTTAATTTCTTCTGTACAGCTTGGGTCCATTGGATTTCACTGATTCCTAGCACCGCCAAGTTGTATCTCAACATCACCGCAGCTATTTGATTAGTCTTCCTGATCTCTCACATTGGCTGAACGTTTCATGTACCTATATTAATTTTTGCTCTGGTTGTTAGAAGGGACATCAGCCTCGTGGCTTCCAAAGAATTTTTACCATGAGGTATTATAATTGTTGCAAATGAAGATCCTTCAACTCCCAGTTCAGAGCCTAATTGGCTTAATTGATTTATTCTGGTTAGCGATTTTTAAGCTAGGTTGTTTTCCACGGGAAGGGGTTGCTGACCCCATGCCCTACCATACTCCCTTATCCGGGCTGGAGACCGACAGTAACCCTAGAAGGTCTACATGTGGGACTGGGTTCTGAGGCAGAAACCTACTATTATTGTTCTCTTCTCTAGATCTCAAATTCCTGGTTTTGATATCGATACCAGGCAAGGTCGATGGTGATCAATTTCAATAAGTTTCAGACCAAAAGATAACAGTTCCTTCAATCAACCATTTATAAATAACATAAAACTGGGCACCTATATACATCAGTTCAGATTCACACAACTTGTCATCACACCGAGATAAGATTACCAAAATCGATCCCGCATATTACTGTTAACAGTTTTATAAGTAATTTAGCAATCCTCTGTAAAAATAAAAATCTGTTTACTTTCTATACTTCCATTTAGACTGTCACCTGGATTCAGTAAGCTACCTATGGAGGAATTGGAAAGTTGGAAAAGAACTCATGAAACTCCAACTGAATGGCGCATAAGGCGATCGTTTTTGGAAAAAAATTTTAATAAATTACACCCTGAACGCTTGGAGTGTCTTTCACATTGTTTCACTAATGCTACATTGTACAAAGTCAAATATCCAGAAAAAGTAATGGAAGAGGTATTAGAAAATTTAGTTTTTGTAACCTGATTGATAATGTTTCAATTAGATCAACCTTCTTGGGGAAGGAATTGAAGAAGCCAATACTTGTGAACATAGTAAAAATTTCAGTTGACGATAAACCGGAGTTAAATATATCAACATTTTTGTAATTTGTTATGATCCGAATTTCAAGCGGACATGTTTTTCTACTATTCTAACTGGATAGTTGAAGTAATGTGTATCGTCAATATATATTTAAACACGTACTTCTTGACTGTTGTTTCAGAGATTAGATGTTCTTGTAGTTATGAAGGCAACTGTCACTTTCCGTTTGCTCACACCATGAAAAGACATTCTTCCTTGGGTTACCTGAAAAGGAAGCTGTATTAGTTGTAATCTGAGAGCGTGACCACGCAACCCAAGAGACAACTGCTTGCGGTAGATCATACAGCCTTTTTGTGGAGAGATAGCTTCGTACTTTGAAAGCCATTGCCAACAGAGAAATCAGTGTCGCAAGGTAAAGTATGCTACTTTTAGGATTTGTCTTTTCGAATCCGTCTTCCTGTTGTGAGACGGCAACCTCTATGTGGATGCTTATCCGCCGCCTACATCAAAGAGCGGTACTTGGTAGTGAGAGGTAGGTTAGGAAAGATAAGAGTGGTCAGACTAAAGAGTGCCGTCATTTCGTGAGGTCTAATCCATGTTGATAAATGCAGACCACCTGGTTGTAGTCTGTGTGATAACTGGTAACATGGCTCAGGATCGTTCACAGTGGCGCAGATTCATCCACGCTCTATCTTCTGGATTATGAATTCCGGTATTCCTTCGTTCATACTTTCCTATCGTATTTTTGAACCATATTCCCAACACTTAGTCTTCCTCATCATGATTGTTACCACATTGCTTCGATTACTTCAATTCACTGAGACTGAAAATTTCTATACTTCTTATCTGGTCTTTCCACGTTTAATTTTTCCATTGTAATTTGGATCTACTAGCCAATCATTTTGGTCGTCTTCATTTGTGATAAACCTGTGCGCCTACCCTAATAGTTATAGCTTCTTGGCTAATACAATTAGTCGGAATAGATCAAATAGCATTATTCCATTAGGTTTTTTCTTCAATTTTAATTTATATGATGCAAAATTATCGAATCATATCATGTAGCATTCATCAACATGAGTTCTTTGTAAGACTAAAGAAACAATAGTCCATAGATCTGATTTTAAAACGTCTAAGTTTACCATTTACGTAAATATACCGAAATGGGATTGCATCTCAACGTTGGTGCGAGTACTTATTGTCAGGAACATTGTCATATTTTCAGCAATTGTAGTAGATATAAATAAATATACTCTCTATTCTTAATCTTGAGAAAGAGAGTAGTCATTTGTAAAGTTTGGAAATATTATTTGGATCATAAGATTACCAACGGCGAGATTATAATTTATGGACGAACCAACCAGATCTTAGATGTTTGCGCGGGATTCATTCAGCTATTTGTCTAAATAGCGTTTTAGCTTATGTCAGTTTGTGATGAAAACCATGAATCTAATTCTTAACCCTAACTATCAAACTGCTTTACAACCATCATTTAGCCCTATTAAGTAGGTGGACATTCTCAAGGTCACTGTGGCGTCGCTCAAAAGTCGTCCATAGATTAGTCTCACCATTACCAACTAATAAAAGCTGAATAATCAGTTAGTTTGATTTACTTATAAATTAAAAATTTGGTTTCCACCTACGCTCACCAAGGTGTGGACGCATAAACTTATCATCTTACATTGTCCCAAAACTTTAAAAAGGACTATCTCTGACATTATATATTTTTCTATCTCTGATATATACGTCTATATATAGGATGTATAAATATAAGCTTGATTACAATGGATACCCATATATTTTTTTCAAAAACAAAACAAGATGTAAAACTAGAGGGAGAAGAAACAAAGAAAATACGGCGAAAAAACTAATCGTGACATGTTAAAGAATAAGCTCTCAAAGGACAAGAAAAATATGAATAAGTAACAAAAATAAATCTCTAAAAAAGGCGTCCAAGTTTTATAAAAAAGAAGAGAATGTTTCAATTCTAATATCATTGAAAAATAATACATCCCCTTCTCTGCGTCCTGTACACTCAAACTTTGAATCTCTGTTTTACCTAGCTTAATTTATTCAATCATATCAGTGGGGGTAATCGTAGTAGAAAAAGAAAGAGAAGATGAAGGTTTATCGCAATTTAACGAAGAATCCTGATTATTATCTATATCATTTATTCTTTTGATTACTTTTTCGAAAATATATGTCCATGGAGCAATAGCAGATGATTCGTTGGACGTATTCTCATAATTCATAAAACTAGTCGATACAAAATTAAACTGTTCAGATGTGGTTTCCGATAGCTAAAAGCAAAAACAGTAAAGAATTAAAATGTTGCTCATATTTTACACAACGAACAATCATGTTGGTGAAATCAAGAATTTCTCTTATTTTACAACAAAACCATAAATAACAGTAAATTGAATTCGTGATTCAAAGGTTGATTATCTGTTAAAGGAAATCAATTTACATTTTGTAATCGACCCAGATCAATATGATACTGATTAGCATGGTGTTAATGCTTATTTTTTGAAATTCTAGAACACGGTTCAAATGTAGCCGGAAGTATGAGATCTATGGTTTATGTACTGCGACACATTTCTGAAACTAAAAATAATTTATTGTTAGAGATTCGGAATTAACATCACCCAATACTATAACAAAGGATATTCATTATCTTTGGGTTAATGAAGTCAAACAATCTGCAAATCCAGAGAAGGGTTAGATGAGAAACAGGATCCTTTTCAATCATAAATAACGATTGTTTCGCGCCTCCCAATATGCGTCAAACTGCCAGTTGATGATTCCACAGACCATCCTTCAGGGAGATATAGTGTGATGAAACGGTGGTGAATTGAAAATTAGTCAGCATTAGCGATATTAATGAGTAAAACGAAAATGTACAACTGAATCACAGTGTTGTTATTAAGTATGAAATATAATGTATTTACGAAAACACACTTTGTATCAACTTACTCCTAATTCCTGAAACAATTCCGATTGTGGTATATCTATAATAGATTTCCACGAAGAATAACTACATAACTCTTTGGGGGTTATTTGGTTGTCACTAAGTCCTTCGGTCTTCAAAGGATTTGGTACTAAATCGAAATACTCTTCTTTTATTTCCCTCTTTTCTTCAATAAAACTGTTCATTTGGGTTTCATAGTTTAATACAGATAAACGTCTACTTTCAGTAATTCGTAGTAATTCATAAAAACTTATTCGACTACTATCATGTGGGTTGCAATCGATTCTCATTGTGTCATTATCATCATCATTTGTATAGTAATCGGGAATAGTATTTTCGGATGACAAGTTAACAGTTGAATTTGCAATATATATATCAGTGGAATTAGTATAATGATAAGATGAATGGGTTTCATCAATATTTTGACGATGTGCTGTACGCAAAGCATTGAGAAATATCTGAGTAATTACATGAGTATTTAATTTGTCTGCATTTGTAGGGAAAATTATTGATGATTGCAATGCGGTAGAACTATTTGTTATATCATCATTACATTGAATTAGTGAACAGATAATTGGTAAAGTAGTATTAAAAGCATTTTCAACTGTAATTTTGTTTACATGGTAATCACAAGAATAATCAGACTGTAGAAAGTCCTGTCCAACAAGATCATTTGAAGACAGATATCTGTAAATATAAAGCGAAAATTCAGATAATAAAATGATAACCAAATAGTTTATATGATTGAGAATATCTATGCTAGTAAAGCAGTGTTTATAGTCAATAAAGCGGTTCGAGCCACATTAGTCTTAAAGGAAATAATGTACGTAAATAATCAGTTGACTATTCGTATTAATCAATAAGCACTAATAGATGTTATTTTCCGTACATCCAGCTACAGTGTTGACGATTTGTAAAGTGATAATGGTTACACTAAAACTACACCAGGGGTTTTAATTTTATTTGAGACCGTAGTTCGTGAAGTATACTATAGTTTTCCACACTTGCCAAGTGAGTAAAGTTTGTTCATAATTACAGTATGCGATTGTCCGTGGAATATACAAAACAAAATGTTATTGGAAGATAGCAACCAATAACGAGGAGAAAAAGGTCAGTGCAAGTAATATGGATTCTGGACCTTTAGCGAAATTTCGGCGTGTAGATGTAAGAAAACCTACTGAAGGAACAGGACTCAGTATGAATATCAGTTTCTGTATAGTTTAGGAAAACTATCTTCCATCGCCCAGAACTGATAGCAATAAGGTGATGAATGGCAAAATATAGAATTCTCTATAGTATGAGATTTGGTAACACATTGTTAGTGAAAGCACAATATATTTATGCATATGATAAAGTTCCAGTTGTTTGACCGTAATAATAGCATTTTCAAGGGGCAGGATACTAGAAATATATCTTCAGAAAGGTTTTGATCTTGTTACAAAATCAGGAATATTAAGTTAGTTGTATGAGTCTCTCAAATCGACCGAACAATTTTCTTACTTACAAGAGATAACAGTTATGCATTTTTTCAATTAAAATCTACCTGAGAATAGGTAGACAGTAGTGAGAAAAAACAAGTAAGGATAAACGTTATTCGTATTCAGTAAGTAAACTCAATTGCTATTGGCTGGTATGTTGTGCTCCTTTCTTCTAACAAAGCACTATCAGATAATTAGCCTTGGGAAATAATTTGGCAGGCAGACACACCTTGACGCAGTGCATGAAAATAACTAATCGTGCAGTTGGTACGACCTTTATTCCCGGTGAGCCACGTTTACATCATTTACTTAATACTCATAATTCCCCAGCCGGACACGTGAACGCATCGATTCAGTGACTACAATAATAGTGGTCGTAATTAAATGGCCAAAAACAAAAATTGATACAGCTCAGTTACTTAAAACAAACTTACTCGGGTGTGTTTTCAGTAGACAGATAACTTTGATTATTGTCTTTCTCCTTTATAGTATTCCAAATACCTGAATAAATATTATCATTTAACATAAATTTATTCTGATTGAAATAATCTTCTAATCCATGTTCATCAATACCAGTTGGTTGAATAAAATGGTTTGTTTCGAATCGGGGTGATATAAATTGTGGATGAAAAGATGATAATGATGGATCAATTGGTTCAGTCATAAATGATTGTGCAAATGTATGCGTTACTTCCGATAAACGATTCATTGCTATAAA